TTTTTTTTTTTTTTTTTTTTTTGAGACAGGGTCTTCCTGTAGCCTCTGCTGGCCTGGAACTTGGTCTGTAGACCAGGTTGGCCTTGATCTCACAGAGGTCTGCCTGTCTCTGCCTCCTTAGTGCTAGAATTAAAGGTGCTTGCCACCATGCCTGGTGCATTAAAAAATTTTTATGCCTAGGGGCAAGGAGAAAAATTTTCATAACTGTATAATAGTACCTAAAATTGATTCTGTTAGAGTTTCCTGTAATCCTATTATAGGATATTTTCTTTTTTTTTTTTTCGTGTTTGGTCAATAACTGAATATGTGTGGGTATATTACCTTTGACGTTTTTAATAATTTCCTTTAAGCTTTTATTTTTCTTTTACCTTACAGTGAATTCCCAGTAGCTAAATTACTAAGAGGGTAGAAACATTTTTAAAAAATATTTTATTTATTATTTTTACTTTATGTGTATGAGTGTTATGCCTGCATGTAAGTAAGTGCACTCGTGTGGTGCAATGCCCACAGAGGACAGAAGAGGCTGTCGGATCCCCTGGAACCGAAGTTACGGACAGTTGTTAGCTGCCATGTGGGTGCTGGGATTCGAACCTGGGTCTTCTGCAAGAACAGTCAGTGTTCTTAACTGCTGAGCCATCTCTCCAGCCCCGGTAGAAACATTTTTAATGGCATTTTTGCACAAGTTGTCACACTATTCTAAAACAAGGTTACAGAGCTACCAGTTGATTTTTCTCAGTCATCTGTGTGGATTTTGTTAGGTTACGAAACTTTCTCTATCTTGCTAGTTTACTTTATATTGCTTTAATACGTAGATATGGATAGGTAGACAATCAACGAGACCAGTCTTAGTGTGTGTGTGAGCCAAGTCTTGCTATGCAGCCCAGGCTGGTCTTGCGCTCTCAGCACCTAAGAGTGCTAGGATAACAAGCATGTGCCGCCATGCCTGGCTAAAGCTAATCTCTCTCCCTCTCAAGTAATGATATACATTTTCTATTTCAGATGAATTTGCAACTGGTTTTCTGGATTGGACTGATCAGCTCAATTTGTTCTGTATGCGGCCAAGCAGGTAAAAAATAAGTTTTCCTGGTGTCCTTATATTTCAGCACCTTCAGTTATGTTCCTGGATGCTCTGCATAGACATTTGGATCATGTAGAATGCTGAGGCATGTTTATAAACAGAAGCAAGTAGACTAGATGTGTATAGTGGTACATTATAAAGTGTCCATTGGAATCTAAAAAGTGATACCCAGTGGGACACAGTGGCACTTGCCTATAATCCAGCATGTGGGAGGCAGAGGCAGGAGGAGTATTAGTTTTAAGTAAGCCAGGGTTACAGAGCAATCCCCCCTAATACAAAAAAATCCAAGGACTGAGGATTTAGTTCACTGGTAGTTTGCATGCTCAAGGCTCTAGGTTCCTGTCACAGCAGGCAAAAAACAAAGACAAACCCAGGAGCAGTTTACTTTCTGTGCAGAGCCGATACTCTTCTGGGGTCAAAAGGCTTGCATGGTATTAGCTTATCTGTAAGAGCAAACAAGCTGAAGACCTTTTAAATCTTCTGTCCACCGTGAACATCCACGTCTAGAGTAATGGGTGCCCAGTTGGTTCTGCTCTGCGGATCTCAGAATGAACATGTGAAAATGAAGAAAGATGCTTGAGGAAACTTGAGATACTTGAGCTACAGCAAATCAATAAGTCAAGGCACCATACTGAAGATGAGAAACCTAACAGACTTTAAATTTCTTTAGTACATTTAGAAATTCAATTAAAAGTTGGGCATGGTGGTGCACGCCTTTTAGTCCCAGCACTCAGGAGGCAGAGGCAGGTAGGTCTCTGTGAGTTCAAGGCCATCCTCGGTCTGAGCTTTACCCTATCCTAGGGCAGAGGTCTCCACACAAAAAAAAAAAAAAAAAAAAAAAAAAAAAAAATCAATAAAAATTGATGAATCTGAGAGTACAAAAACTTGCAATAGTCCTATGGTTAAATTTATAAAAGGAAATGGTTCGGCTGGAGAGATGGCTCAGCAGTTAAGAGTGCTCACTGCTGTTGTAGAGGACCCAAGTTCAGTTTCCTGTGGCCATGTCAAGTGGCTCACAACTGTCTGTAACTCCAGTTCCATGGGCACCTTGCATATACATGACACACACACATACCCATGCACAAATCGAAAAAGAGGAAATGGCCACTATCCATGAAAAAAAGTGAAGTGACTGATAATTATACTTTTTAAAGTGTATACTTAAAAAAAGAATAAAATAGTAAGAGGCTAGAGATGTGACTCAGTTGGTAGACTGCTTACCTAACATGTACAAGTCCTGGGTTCAGTCCCTAATACTGGAAAATAAGAAATTAAAGTACTTGATGCTGGAAGTATTGTGTGTGAAAAATGGCATTTATATACTGTGTGTGAGAATAAAAATTTTCTCTGGATAGTAATCAGTGTTGATGGAGAATTTCAAAAACATTACTCTTTATAGTATCTTTGAGGGTTTGTTAAAGTAGTAGACGTGTACTAAGGTTTCCGTGTAAGAATGTCGTCAGAGTACATGAAATTTAAATTTGTCTAACATAGAATTGGGTACAGTTGTGGGGGGAAATATTACCTAATCATTAAAAGCCACTTTTTTTCAAAGGGTTATCACTGTGTAGCCCTGGCTGACCTAGAACTTGCTGTGTACACCAGGCTGACTTTGAACTCAAAAAGCTCTGCCAACCTGTCTTCCAGGTTCTGGGATTAAAGGCTTACACCACCACACCCAGACCTAAAAGCTGTATATTTGAAGAGTTTGTAATGCCATGAATGAGATGTGGTAAAATTTAAAAAGCAGTTCACAAGCGCTGACTTGCTCTCCAGCAGTTGCTGCTCAGCCTTCATCCTCCCACTCTGGCTATTAGGAATAAATGTGAAAGCTGTTCAAGTAGTTAACTTTTAGTGAGTGGATTGTAGGTGATCCCTGGTTTGTTCATTATGTTTTCATAGTTTTTTTTTTTTTTTTAACCTCAATCATAGGTTAGACCTCTGATCAGAAAGGATATACCAAAGACGATCTTTACTAGTTTTTACCATAAAAGAGATGTGCCAGTCTAGATGAATTCAAAGAATGCAAAACATGTACTGAACACAGTCTGAAAACTCAAGAGGTTCTGGATTGGGTGAATATGGACTGAGGTTTTTGTTTTGTCTTTTTCTTTTTTCCTCTGAAACTTCAAGTAAAATTGTCTTCTTTTTCCTCGTAGATAAAAATAGATGTTTAAAAGCAAATGCCAAATCTTGTGGAGAATGTATACAAGCAGGGCCAAATTGTGGGTGGTGCACAAATTTGGTAAGTAAGAGTTCTAGTACCTGTCCATTCTCCAGTTTTTGAGTGTTGCCCTGAATTGTATCCTTGGGAAGCACCAGGTGAAAATGAGCATTTAAGGTGTTGGAGAGATGTCTTAGTGGTTAAGAGACACTTGCTGCTTTGAGTATCTACACCGGGCAGTTCGTAACTGCCTGCAACTCTGGTTTCAGGGGATTTGACACCTTCTGGCCTCTGTAGGCATTGCAAACACAGACAAGCAGGCAAAACACTCATACACATACATAAAAATAATATTTGAAAAAGGAATTACCATTTAAATCAATGTTATTGAATAGTGTGTGATGGTCAGAACTGTGCTGTTAGACAGAGTCCGCACTAGACACTATTGAGCCCTTGATGTTACAAAGCAAGAATTGCTTTAGTGTAAAAAGAATTTATTTTCAGATAATACTTTATATAAACATGTTATGCTAATTAATTTCCCATTTACTGTTTTTGTATGTATGTGTGTGTGTAGAGGCCAGAGGTCAACCTTGGGCATCATTCTTTAGGTTCTGTCCACTTAGCTTTTTTGAGACAGAGTCTCATGTTGGCATGGAGCTCAATGATTAGGCTAAACTGGCTGAACACTGAGCCTAAGAATCCTCTTGTCTCTCCTCTCCAGCTGGAGGTTGTTACAGTGTATGCCACCATATCCAGCTTTTCACCTGGGGTCTGGGGTTGAATAGCAAGGCAAACACTTTACTGACTGAGCTATTGCCCCCATGAGCCCACCTCCCCCCCCTTTTTTTTTTATTAATGAGACAGACTGTTTTGTGTCCCAGGCTGGAATTTGCTCTGTAGCCAGGAATGATTTTGAACTTCTGGTCTTTCTGTCTTTACCTTTTGGGTGCTGGGTTACAGGTGTGCAGTAGCATACCTGTTTTATGCAGTGCTGGGGATCAAACTCAGGGCTTCATGCATGCAAAGCAAGTATTCTACCAACTCAACTACATCCCAAACCCTCATTTACTTTTTTATTTTTTGTTTATTTATTTTTATTTTATGTCTAAGTGTTTTGCCTGCATGTATGTAAACACACCTATGTTATACAATTCCTGAGGAAGTCCTAAGAGGGCATCTGGTTTCCTGGAACTGGAGTTATGGTTGTTAGCTGCCATGTGGGTGTTGGAACCCTGAACCCAGATCCTCTGTAAGAGCAGCTAGTGCTCTTAACCCCTGAGCCATCCATCTCTCAGCCTCCCTCATTTACTTTTTCATTTTTTTGAGACAAGGCTTTACTGTATAGCCCAGACTGGCCTTGAACTCCTGCTGATCCTCTTGTCAGCCTCTCAAGTGATAGGATTACAGATGTGTGTCACTCAAACACTCTGTCTCCATCCCCTCCCCATAGTTCACATGTAGCCCTAGCTGATCTCAAACTCATTGTGCAGCTAAGAGTGACCTTGAACTCCTGTCCTCTTGTTTTCCCCTCCCCGTTGCTGGAGTTACTGGCGTGTACCACCATTGCCTGGGATTTGGGGGGTATGGGGATGAGATTGAACCCAGGGCCTCCTGTGAGCTTCCTCCTCTCAGTCCTTTCCCTTTCCTTTCTTTTCTCTGTGTGGTTGCTAGACACTTTAAAAACATCTTTTTCCTTTGAGTAGTTTTACAAAAGGCCCCTTTGTCATTTAGGTTGACTTTTAGTTTGACTTTTAGATTTTGCTTCTTTTTTGATGGGAGAGGTATAAATTAACCTTAATTATATCTGTGTTGAATTGTGTCCTACTGCAACCCACTGAGGTCAGGTTTACATTATTTCCTTTAAAGACCTCTGTACCTTGCTTGCCTTTAAGTATGCCTACAAAGCATACTGAAATTTCAGTGAATCACTGAATGAATACTGCAGAAGACAGTTTGAAGATACATAAGGTCAAAGGTTCATTGTGCGTGTCTTCACCCAGGTGTTTGCACCCAAATTCTAAGGACCTGACTGATTTGCCCAGGTGAAAGATAAATGAGTTTTTGTGGGGCTGGAGAGATAGCTCAGAGGTTAAGAACACTGGTTGTTCTTGCAGAAGACCCGGGTTTGAATCCCAGCACCTACATGGCAGCTAACAACTGACCTAACTCCATTTTCCAGGGGATCCACAGCCTTTTCTGTCCTTTGCGGGCATTGCATGACACAGGTGTACTTACTTATATGCAGGCAGTACA